GGGGGTTTGGGATTTGGAGAGTTAGTTGAAGAGGAATGGATCTTTTTCAAATGGTAAGAAGCGAGGCAGAGAGAGAGAGAGCATGCATGAAAAGGTTAACTTTTTTACAAAGGCTAAGGGAAACAAAAGCAGCTCATAAAATAAAAGGTATACAAGAAGACTGCAATGTGTTTTTAACAGGTCAGCACCCTCAAAATAAAAAATAGATAGTCAAAATTTGGGGACACCTCTAATCACCTATTTCAAGAGAGATGATGACTTTCTTGTGACAAATATAAATGGTATCCCTCGCGTACGATCCATAATCAAAACCTGGCCAACACAGAAGTTAAAGAGGGAGAGAGTCCAAAAGCACACCCAGTTCTTCAGGAACTATAGAGCAAACCCAACCATCAAAATAACCAAGTAGAATACAAGAATCACATTCCCTAATTGGTGTATAACATTATTGGGTCTGAGCATTTCATTTCCTTTTGCCGGGGACAATGACAAAATAATAGTACAAAATCAACAGCTGACACCCATGTGTTTGTGTGTGTGTGTGCGCGCGCGCACACAGTGTGGGAGCAGGCGCAGGAGCAGGAGCAGGAGCAGGGGCAGGGGCAGGGGCTGGCCAAAGGAAGGAGTGGAGAAGGCATCAGAGTTGGGCAGGGATTGAACCATAAAATTTTTCAGTTATGAAAACTAAACTCCATGCCAGCCATCAAGTTTTTCCCAAAACCGAATAAAAAGAAGAAACTTTTGACGAGATATATGGTTTTACGCTTGGGCTCGAATTAAAATGTTATACTTTAATAATTCAGCATCCCAACCCAATTCTGGGTAGTTTTAGGATTTAGCACAATCAATGTAAATAAATATAAGCACATGAAATCAAGTACATATATACACATGCACATACAGTCATCGATCGAAACAAAGTCATTAACAGGTGATGTTAAGGAAAAGTTTTAGGGATTGCGTCAATACGGAGCATGAACTTGCCAATACAAATATAAGAAGCTCACAGACAAGAAGGTACAATGATATCAAACCTGAAATCATTCTTTCCAGAGGGATGAGCCTCCAATTTTGGCTGGGGATTCTTTTTGTCGTCATCATCATCATTCATCGTCGTCTTATTGTTCACGAATGGGCACGTTCCTGATGGATGGACCACGTTGCTGACCCACGAGTACATCTTTGAACCGTGACATAGGTCCAAAGATCCGATTGATTTTCTGCAATTTCGCGGGCATTTAGTCAGTAGATCACAAAACCTCACTCATGAGAGAGAGGGATCACACAACTTTACTCATAAGAGAGAGAGGGATCACACACACACACACAGAGGGAGAGAGAGAGAGAGAGAGAGAGAGAGAGAGAGAGGATATATTTCATGTCTAGTGAGTGTTTTGCAACCTAACCATGCCCAGTTGAGGAAATGAAACATAAACAAATGCAAAATTAACTTGCAAATAAACATACAAATTAAGTAGGACATCAACAAGAAAAAATAACTTGGGCCTCACAGAAGAGCAAGCTTATACTTGTATCAGATAGCAGATCACATTAAGTGTTTATTGCCCACGAAGACGTCATAAATATAGTGTACCAGTAACAAATCATGTTTAGAAAAATATGTATCACAGAAACAGTGACTATTTCAAGTTGACAACAATCATTCACAAAAGCAGAAACAACCATCCCAACATCTTCCTTAGAAATTAACACAAGCACAAAGTAAAGGATTGTTGATAAACAAAAAGTATCTTAAATAAATTTGTTTTCTGAAGGAAGACTGACAAAATCTCAAATTCCAAATAGAAGTTTGAGAAAGACATAAATGCTATGACCTCAAACAAAAGGAAAATCCAAAGTACGCAAGCATTTCAACCTTTTAGAAACTGGCGTTTCCACATAAAACGACAACAGCATAGGCGCACAGTAAAAGCATCTTCCCAATGCCACGCCCCAAATAGGGAGCAACACAATAGGCAACTGTCAAAGAACCTATTCCTTAACCAGATGCCAGCTAATAATGGAGACCATTGCATAGTCAGCATAATAAAAGAGAAGAACTCCTACAAAAACTGTCAATTCTTCATGAGACTAATCATCTGGACCGGTCAGTGTTTTAGAAATTGCCGGGAAGGATCGGAATTGCGCAATCTGAGCCAGGAATCATTCATGGACGATCAGGTTCCTTGTAGGAATGGGTGAATTATGTACTATATATTATATAAGGGTGTGGTTTCTATAAGGTTGCAACCTTAAACAATCCAATTAAGGCACACCTTCAAATTTGATCATAATATGTAATTTTAGTGTAAAGATTCCTTAGGATTATCTTAAACTCTATTTTCATTTCTAATTATAAAAGTTTAGACTCCAAAAATGGTTAAAATCAAGTAGATCTATAAACATATGAAAATCTCGAAAATGGACGGTCTAGAAAACGTGTTGCAAGATGCACTATTTCTGAGACTCAAAATCTTTTTTTTTTTTCATATTCATACATCTCAATGTCGAGATAATCAATTAGAGGGTTTTTCAACATTAAAAGAACATTTTTTCGATGGATTTTTTAGGTGCATCTGTAATTCTGCATTTAAGGTTGCAACCTTATATAAACTTTTTCCATTATATAATGGGTCGTTTTTATTTCAGCTAGCCAGATTGTTCCAGGCAGTAGCAGGGAGGAGTACATGGTGGGGCCTTGGGGGCTCGAGTCCCTCCGAGCATGCCTTCCTTTTATGAAAGCTACAGGTTCAAAACTTTTAACCTTCAAAAATTAAAAACCTTTTCATGAGCCTCAAAAGAAGTTCAATAACAAGATTCGATCACAAGACCATGGATATGGGATAGAACATCATCATCATCATCCAAGCCTTATCCCAATGATTTGGGGTTGGGCTACATGAATCCTTGCCTCCATTCTTCTCTTTCAGGATTCATGATAAGATGTGGCAAAGTTTCACACTAGCTCCTACCTAACACAACCCACCTCTATTACCCGGGCTTGGGATGGGTTAAGAGAAAGTTTAAGGTCCTCAACCTTATTAGAATAATGGATATGAGGTAGAACGTGCTCCAAAAAGCCATTGCACATTTGGCAATTTGGAAATGATAAGTAATAATAGAAAGAAAAAACCCAAATGGCAATGCACCTTTTCATGAGCCTCAAAAGAGGTTCAATGAAAAGATTTGATCACAAGACCATGAATATTGGTTAGTATGTCCAAGATAAGTTATAATATTAAAAAAATCCAAATGGCAATGCACCTTTTCATGAGCCTCAAAAGAGGTTCAATGAAAAGAACCATGAATATTGGTTAGAACGTGCAACCGAAAAGCAAATGCACATTTGGTAATCTGAAAATGACAGGTTATAATATATAAGTTAATATTCTTTTTTATTTTTATTTTTTAAGAAATATAATATCAGCAATCTAGATGGTCTGGATTGTCGATCCAGATTGTGATTGGTGGTGGATGATCCGTCCCACCAATCCTTTTATTTAACACTGATTTGGACACCTCAGTTAAGGGGAAAGCCATCACTGAGAATATACACCTTGCACAAGCATTGATATTAAAGCTAAAGAAGACTAGAGGAATCAATTTGGAGCTTAAGTTGACTATGGCTAAATCCTGTGAGGTTGGGATTTCAATTCTCTACAAGGTTGTGTTAACCGATTGAGAGGAATCAGCAATGTAGCCTTTCAGTCTTTATTTAATAGACCCCCTTTTGTCTAGTTTGTGTTTCAAGAGTCTAGATGAAGGTGGCCAGTTTTCTCCTTGGTTGTTTATTGTGACTGAGGTGGCCTTCTGCGAGGGTATTATGCTTCAAAGTTTATAAGGAGGATTCTTGTAGTGAGAGTTTAATGTGTGTATTTTAATTTATTTTATATGAATATGGATCTGTTTTTAACCTTTCCTGTCTTGCTCATAACCCCCAACATCTTTTGTAATTGCAAATATACCATAGGGGTATTATGGTTCTTTGTAGTCATCAATAAGAATGGTGTACAAGTAGAACACTAAACTACCACTTCTTCAAAATCACGCATCTCTTGTCATCTGGCTCTCTATGAGAGCTCACATTGTAGCAAAGTAGGGTACGCTCTCTAGTCCTTGTAATCGCCCTCTTTCACCACCATCAATTCATTTTTTTTGCTGAATGTAAAAGGCATCAAGAGTGAGATCATAAATCTTGGTTTGCACATCATACTTCATTCCAATCTTTTCCTACAGCTGCACACCAAAATTAGGGTTTGAATTGGTGTTAGAGCATGCAACCATTTTGTGAGTGGTGAGTGTTCAACACATAAATTTGGTTATATTGGCCTAGTTTTTTATTGTTTGAGGTCTATAACTTTCCATTACATTTTGTACTTTTAGGCTATTTCAAGTCCTACTTGAACCAATTTCTGGACAACTTTTGAGCTATCTTGTCTACAAGTTCAGCACCTGGTCCTCTGTCCACTATACCTCTTGATCCAATATAGCTGAGAAGAAATTTTCATCTTCTTTCGTTCCTGCAAACGCCATTCCTCCAAATTCCATGCACTCAATAACCCTGGAATTCAAATCACCACCAATAAACTTAATAATGAATACTTTTTAAGTCCACTTCGCTTTCGCCGAAGAGACCGACAACTTCAGGTTCCTGGCCTAGGCCGAAGTGAAGCAAAGCTGTAAGCCCCCCTGTCAATGAATCCTATTTGTATAAAGGTTGTCATGTTGTATTCTCTTGCAGGTATCTGGTCCCTCTAGTGAAAACCCTATTCTAATGAGTAAATTTAGGACCCCAAATTTTAGGGATGTAGTCTCCCCAACAAAGGGACAACCTAAAAATAATAATCATAATAAAAAATACATATACCTGAAAAACATACATCTCCCAAATGAGTGCTGCTTTTTTAAACACGCATTTGGTGATCATAGAGTGGATCCCGAAACTTTGATCAAGAAAATACTCCTAAAGAGAACTTTTACCAGAGAAAGTTTACTGGTACTCTCCCATGGGAGCACGCTCTTTGTTTTCCTTACTTTTCCGAAGACCCTATTTGTTGACTTACTTTTCTATTAGCAATCGTGCTTGGGCTTGACTAGTTAGCAGTCGACGTTAGTAACACTACATCTCAAGTTCGATTCCTACCACTGACCTATCCATATATATATATATTCCCACTGCTATTAAAGCCCCACTTTTATTCCCTTGTCCAATGTTTTCTAATTACTAAATTTTAATAAATAAATGAAAATACCCCATGATCATTAACAATAAATAGAACTTTTGCGACAAAAAAGAAATAGAACTCTTCAATATTAGTTCATCAGATAATGCATCAAATTTGCCAAATTCCATGGGACCCATACGAAATTCACTTAGTTTATATTATTATCCTATTAGTTCATCGGATAATGCATCAAAATTGCCAAACTCCATGGAACCCATGCTTCCCTTCTTTTCTATTATTTTCATTTTCATTTTCATGTCTATCTTTAATAATTTTAGTATTAAAAAAATCACAAGTCTTCCCTGAATCCGCTGAAGTGCCAAAGCACTTCACTTTCTCAGCCAAACCTAAGAAGGCTCCAAATCGAATCTGATAACATAACAATTACTTAGCATGGTCTTAGTCAAGCCAACAACTGCCCTAAAACAAGGAATGAAATGGGTTTCAAATGGGAAATTGATAATTTCATCATGATGGGTGGTTGCTGAATTCTGAAGATCCATATTTCTCGTGCCTTAACTTTCTTAATATAAATCTGGACCACAATAAAGGAACATTCTATCAAATGGATATTGTTGCAGAGTCAATCAACTTCAGAGATTTTATCAACTGCAAGAGAGGAAAATTTTCTTTTGATAACTACTTTGATGAGCTAAAAGGGAGGTGGGATGAAACAAGTCATCATGCACCTCTAACTGCTGACACTTGCACCAAGTGTGAAAGGTGTGGCTATGTTGAACTCAAGGTAATAAATTCAAAAAATTTTCTTTTTTTAACTTTTATCAATATATCTGAATTCCACTTACGTGGGCCACAATAAACTGCTGTAAATAAAAAATAAAAGCCTAAATACAACCTAGGACCTTTTACTGCCAAAGCAAATAAACACATCCCAGAAACAACATCTAGTCTTCCACTATGAATTTAAGTACAATGTATGTTCCCGAAAAATCACAGAAAGTATGCAAATATGATTGAAAATAACCCCACACCTG